GGCTTCCCGGGCTCATGAAGCGCAGCTTTTAAACAAACTGTTTCATTTTCCGTCATCACCCAGCCCTGTAGGCCTGTTCCACCCCAGCCCCGCCCCAGTCAGCTCTGTGCAGCACGTCCCACACCCACGTGGGCCAGTTCACCAGTGCTGAGCCTCCCCACGAGGTTAGATCGTGTCCCTGTTCGGGGGCCGTGGGCGCGGAAACAGCCGAGGAGCAGGGACGTAGACTCCGCCCCAGGTTCTTCCGCCGACAGGAGGGACAGGCTGGGCCTGAATGTGGGCAGCCTGTTGCAGAGCCCGCCCCCCGCTGGGGCACACGTGTCCCCTCCCGGCCCGCCCGCACCCCGCTGGGGCACGCAGTGTCCCCTCCGGGCCTGCCCGCACCCCGCTGGGGCACGCAGTGTCCCCTCTAGGCCCGCACCCCGCTGGGGCACGCAGTGTCCCCTCTAGGCCCGCACCCCGCTGGGGCACGCAGTGTCCCCTCTGGGCCCGCCCGCACCCCGCTGGGGCATACGGTGTCCCTTGTGGGCCTCGCTGCGCCCTGCACGGTTACAATGGAAGGGACAGCTCTCCTTTGCAAAAAGAGTGTCTCCGGGTCCTCCGAGGTCCCGGTCTACATTCTGCCGCCCGCTACCGAGCTAGCCGGCCCTTGGTGGGAATGACAGCTAAGCCCTGCTCGCCAGAGGCCGCCTCTTCCGCACACGCGAGATGGGCCTCCGGTGCGAGGGCCGCCAGAGCTGCGCAGACACTACCGGTGTCCTCGTGTGCCTGCTGCCTGTTCCCGTGTGTGCTCACTCGTGCATGTGCGCGTGGGCACACAGCAGCTGCTCACACCCTTCTGCACGCCCAGGAGAAGAAAACTACCCAGTTTCAAGCTACTTAGGATGTTGGTGTTAAGGCAGTACTGGTGTGTTTTTACGAACAGGTGGAGAACTTTGCATGTTCGGTGACATAGTCCTTTGTACGTCTGTGTTGAGTTCAAAGAGGAGACCAGTCGTCCTCCGAGCCTGTGCGGCAGGGGGTTCTGAGGTGGGGCTCGGTGGAGTGACCCCGGAGTGTCCAGGCCAGCCTGCTGCTCCCGCCAGCCCGCCAGGAGGCTGCTGACGACAGGGACATGGTAGCATCTGCCTGGCATGACTCTGCATCCACAATTTCATCTCAGTCTCTCTTTCCCGCAGGTAACCAGCCTCAGCAAGCCGTGCCTCCCTACGGGCACCCTTCACACTTCTGAATCGGGGAGGACGGGCCGGACTTCACCTTTGCACTGGAATCAGACGCTCGAGTCGAATGCATTAGTCATCGTTAGAAATGTCCCTTTGTTCTTTCGTTTCGTTGAAGTTTTCTTACCTTACACCCCACTGAGGTGTGGCAACAAAAGGCAGAAGAGGTGGCGGGGCTGGGTTGTGTAGCGTTCAGCTTTAAACGGGTGAAAAATGCGGAGCATGCCGGCCTCCTCCGGGGAGTTTGGTCGCAGACTTTTCGAAACTGGTGCTTTTTTTTGAATCTTGTAGAAAGAATGAATTATGGTGGATATAAAATATTTATATATTCATTCATGAAGTTTTTTTGTTGTTGTTGTTGTTGTTGTTTTCCGAACTGTGCCGGACCAAACTACTGATTTGAAAGGCATGTCAGTTCTCGGCAGAAAACGACCCATCTGTCCTGCATTTCCCTTGGGTAGGGACAGGGACATGTATGTGCTTCACTCTGATTTGAAACGTTTGTAATTTCATAAGCACTTTATAAACTGTGTTCTTATTTATGTGGGGTTTTCCTTTGCTTTTGTTGTGGTCAAACGGTGCTGAAACATTGTTGCTCAGTACTTACCCTTCTTAGACCGAGGACGGAAACCGCAGCTTCTGTGAGCGCCACCCTAAGACACGTGGGACCTCTCGGGAGGAGCCGTTCTCAAGTCTTTTGGGGGGCAGGACAATTGACCAGAGTCTGTGATGGTCCAACCTGTAATTCCAAAGGCCCCAACGAACCACGGTGGGATTGGTCCCAATTATTTATGTCCAGATTTGGCAAAAACAACTGTGTCCGGGTTTGGTTCCCCTGAACCCTCTGCCCACTGAGAAAACAGACCTCACCGCTGGCCTGAGAGCCCACAGGGCTCAGACTTGACATGCTCCCCAGGGGATCTGGCTCCCAGTCCGGAAGGCTCTGGTTTTCCTAGAAGATGTATTTGCTGTTTATTTTGTATGGTGAGTATTTGCTATTTTGAATTTAATTATGAACGTTGGTGTCAGTCTTGGTTGTGTGTTGCATACACTATTTATAAATCGGTGCGGAAAGCACAAGTCAATCCTACATCAAATTTATGATAAAGAAATAGTAACTATTTTAACTTTGTTCAAGTATGTGGTAATTTGCTCCTATTAGAGTAAAGAATACAGTAAATGATTATCAGTTTGTGTAACTTAAGAGTATTCCATATGATATTTTTTTAGATTTAGATGCATACAATTTTGAATGTGATAACTGCAGGGCATTTTAAAACCTATGTGGACGCTCTTTTCCCGTGTTCTGCGTTGATCCGTGTTCCTTTCCATGCGGTTTTACGTGTCAGAGTTGCAGAGACTGGATAGATTTGTCCAAAATGAGCAAACCATGAAGGACGACTTTTTTTTTTTTCAATGACACTAGTACCACGTTAGTAGATCGGTTCTTTCGGAAAGCTTTCTATAAATGATTTCTATCTTCCTAGGTGAGTTACTCATTGCAAAGCCTGGCTCATGCCAATGACCTCAAATCTCTGTCCGCTTACTTCGCTGTGCAGCATCCGTGTGAACAGCTTTGTACACTGTGAAACACTTGCCTCCAGCCCCCCGTTTGGTGTTGACTCTGGGCTGGAAGAGACTTTGCCAAAACATGAAAGACCCTTCTTTTCACTAGGTTAACATATTCGACCTGCTCTCAAAAGTGGCATCTTGACATTGCAGCGGGTTCTGTCTATTAGGGTGTGTGTGTTTCCCCTCAAGAATCATACTTAGAATTCACGGAGTTGTTTTTCTCCGAGGAACACGTCCGCAGCGTGGCTGCCGTGGCCGGACCACCGAGTGGTGAGTGTGTGCCCAGAGAGTGCCACGCTCTGTCCTGGTGGTGGTGGTCTTTCTTTTCAAGGACCACGGGTCTTTACACTGTCAGCTTTTCAGTTGGAACCATGTATACTTCGTAGCTCAGTATTGCAAACAGCAGTGATACACTTTCCAGAGCGAGTGTTATCGTTGCAAAGCCTTCGTAAGCACTTTATATTTTGCAGAAGTTCGTGACATTAATTTATGAACCCTTCGCTGTGTGGCCCTGTTTTCTAGGTCAGGGAGCAAGGCATGGTGAGGCTTCCAAGCATCTATGGCACGCTGAGGGAGAACCTAAGGCTGGTTTTTCCTCTGCATCAGAAAGGCAGCAACTGGACATTTTAATCCAATCTTAGATGAACCCCCACTTAACCCTCCGCCCGGAGAGACTTCTTGTTGTAGCAAATGCGTTCATTTGCATTCATGATCACAATGGAAAGCCCTGTTCTTTGACAGAACCTGGTCACCTGCTTCAGGAAATAGAGGAAATTATCGTGGGGTCATTGGAAACCCCACCCCCTTAGGTAGAAGACCTAAACAGAACGGAGTTGAGCATAAGAAGCCCTTAGACCTGTTCCCACTGTAGCCTGGCTCCCAGTAGCTGCACTGGCCATGTTCTCTCTCTGGCCCAGACACTGTTACAGTGAGTATCCTTCCCCTCCTTGTGGCCCTGGGATCCCCACACCAGGGGGCCAGCTGAGAGGGGTGTGATGCAAACCATGAACCGAGCTCCCCCACGTCGCAGAGGACTGGTAGGGCCCCCGAGCGCTCGGTTTTCTGTGTGGAGGTATCAGCCAGAGCTCCGGCATTTCCCCTCTTACACTCACTATGGCTTCTGCAGTTCTTCCCGAATAGCAGGTGACATCTGAACAGACGCTGGAGAGTTCACACTGGAACACCCCCGCCTCTGCGGTTATAAAAGCCCAATCAGAGGGTCCCCAAATCAGAGGGTTCCCCAAACTCATTCCGGCTGGATTAAGCGCGTGACAGAAACGAATTCAGTCCGTTACACAGGGCAATGTTTTCGTGTGGGGTTGAAGAGATTTTAACCACAGTGACTGCATCACGTGATCAGAGCTTCCCGGGGTGTTTACTGCCACAGGATTGCCACCTAGGGAGAAACAGTCTCAGAGGTCCCCCTCAGAAACGTACCCCAGGACAGCTCCAGACCAGGTGCCCGAGCTAGACTTTGAAGTTATGAAGACGTTTCATTATGTTTTTAAACGCTTTCTAATGGGTATCTGGATATAATCAAGCCCCATTTCACCCTCTTTTAGGTCCAGGTGTTAGGTAGCTTGGCCCACGTGGGAAGGTTGGCCTGCGTTTATGTCTGAATGCAGCCCCTAACACACCCTTGCGTCCCCTCAGTGACAGTGTTCAGCCTGCACAAGAGGGTCAGTCACAGGCAAAACAGCTCAGAGCTTATTTTCTGTAGGCTTTAGTGACATGTTTAGAAACCAGCCACAACATAACTATACATCGAAATGGCAAATTCACATCAAGACGGCAAAGGGGATCCTTTCCACCGTCCCCGTTGGGGGTGCCACGCCCGTACCCTTGACAGAGGTGGACGCTAGGCAGCTGGTAAGGGAAGAGAAGGCCCATGTGGCGAAGAATTCAGGTACATTCGCCATTTGTTTTCAGGGGCCAGTTTTCTCTTCAATGTTCATTGTTATCTGTTGGCAAAATAAAAGTGCCTTAAGTTAAAGGTTTGTTTTGAGATCCATTAAAGAAACCAGTATCAGTTCCTAACGCATTTATTTATAAGTCTTTTTTTTTTTTCTCCTTTGCATGTCCATATCAATTTAGTATTGTACATGTATTCAAATTCATTTACACGCCTCTGGCTGCCTTTGATTAAACTTCTTCCAAAAAAAATAAACCGTCTCGGTGTTGACTCTGTTCAACGCGTGTGGTTTCGGGTCAGATCACCTGCATGTATGTGGTTACGGAGTCGCTCCCGAGCGCGTTCCTGGCTGTGCATCGGTAGAAGCCGGAATCCGAGGCCCGCGGACTCCGGATGACGAGGGTGCCTGGCGGGTGGGGAAGCCCCTCCCCGCGTGTCCTCCCCGGGCCGGCCACGGACAGCAGGGAGTGGCCCGGCCTCTCCCACGTGACTTCCGGCTTGGGCACCCCCAGGGCCACACAGGGGAGCCGCACAGCTGCCCCGGTCCTGGTGAGGACGCTCCGGGGCGGGCGACTGGTAATTCGGGGAGGGTAGGCCACGACCGTCACGGGGACAGCGATCACGGCATGGCCGGCGCTGTTCTGGGCCCTGCACACGTAGTTCCCTCTGTCATACGCTGTGGCCTCTTTGATGACCAAGGTGCCATTTTCGTGCAATACGTATTTCCCGCTAACTTGAGGCCTGTCTATTGTATGGCCGCTCGGTACCGTCCATTTGACATGCGGCTTCGGGCTTCCGTCGGACACACAGTGCAGGGCGAGCGAGTCCCCGCTGATGCCGTGGACCGTGCCCAGGGCGTCAGTCAGGATGACGGGCTTCTGGCCGACCTCCAGCACAATTAATTTCTCGATGTAGCCGACTTGATTTCTCGCCCCGCAGCGGTACTTGCCCGCGTCGTCCCGGGTCGCCTTGTGGATCATCAGGGAGCCGTTGCTCGCCAGCCGGTGCTGCGGCCCGTGTGGCCCTCTGGGAAACTGCGTGCCGTTGGGTAAAACCCAGATGACCTCAGGCGGCGGGTTGCCGTCCACAGAGCAGTTCAGCGCTGTGGGCTGGCCAAGCTGCGCGACCACCTTCTCGTTGAAGGGGCTTCTGAAGGTGGGTCGCCTGAGCATTTCCGACACCTGCAGCCGCACCACCAGCACGCTCTCCCCGCCCTCGTTCCGGGCCACGCACGTGAACTCGGCCGCGTCCGAGAGCCGCACGTTCCTGATCTCCAGGGTGCCGTTCTCATGCACGGTGACCCTGCCCCCGTGGTAGGGGGCCGTGAGGAGCACGTTGTCGGGCATGATCCACGTGACCTGGGGCGCCGGTGTCCCTTCCGCCCTGCAATCAAAGTGCTTCTTGGAATGCCGCACGGCCGTGGCTTTAATGACGGTCGTGTTGGTGTACAGACCGTTGATGAGCGGAGGCCGGGAGACGACCTCCAGGGTGTATGGCCTGGTGGCATCCCCGCTGGGGTTCCGGGCGACACACACGTACTCCCCGGAATCGAGCAGTTGGACGTGGCTGATGGACAAAGACCCGTTGGCATGAAAGGTGTACCTGTCCTTGGAGAACGCAACCGTTTCATGGGAAGGCAGCAGCCAGAACACTTTCGGTCTGGGCTCCCCGACCACCTCACAGTCGAGGACGGCTGTGTCTCCGGCCCTGACTCTCGGGTTGGCCTTGAGGCCCGGCCTGATCCGGGGGGCCGCGGTGACGACTGTCAGGTGGACCTTCATCTCGTCCTTCCCTAGCGTGTTCTGGGCGTGGCAGGTGTAATCCCCTTCCTCCGCGACCCCCACCTGGTTGAAGTACAAGGTGCCGTTGTCGAACAGCGTGTACCTCCTGGCGCGCCGGCCGCCGTCGGCCGCCTGCAGGGCCCTGTTGACCCTGGTGCCGTCGGGCAGGCTCCAGGATACGTGGGGCGCCGGTGAGCCCGACGCCTGGCAGTCCACCTGGAAGGCCCTCCCGTGGAGCACCTGCGTTTCCACCGGCTGCTGGCGGTCGATCCTGGCGGGTTTCAGTGTGAGGCTGACGTGCATCAGCGACAGGTCGTCCCCGATCTTGTTCCTGGCCACGCACAAGTAGTCGCCGCCGTCCTTCTCCGTGACTGAGCCGATGAACAGGGACCCGTTTGGGTAGACGTGGATCCGGCTGCCCATTCTGCGGGGAGAGGAGACCGGTTTGAGCGTGACGCCATTAGCAAAGGACAGGACGCAGGGGTTGTCTTACTGACCCGGGGTCAGCTTTACGGACATCCCCTTAGAGTGTTGCGAGAAAACGAAAACCAGTGCTAGCTCACGGACTGCGTTCTAAGCCACGTCCTGAGGATGGAATTAACTGACGAGTAGGTATCATTTAGTGCATACGAGTAGCATTTCTCCAATGGACTTCAAACGAATCTCCTTTATATGATGGATTTTTTTTAAAAGTATATTGGTGAGTCTGGCCGGTGTGGCTCAGTGGTTGAGCGTCGACCCTGCACCAAGAGGTTACTGGTTCGATTCCCCATCAGGGCACATGCCCAGGTTGTGGGCTGATCCCCAGTGGGGGGCGTGCAGGAGGCGGCCAGTCCATGTTCTCTCTCATCGATGTTTCCATCTCTCTCTCTCCCCCTCCCTCTCTCTCGAACAAAAGTCAATAAAGGACAAAATAAATAAATAAAATAAAAGTATATTGGTGAGAGAAAGCGAACGGTATGAAGTCCTAGACCCATGACTCTCTGGACCATTTTACATCCCGAATGCTCATTCTGTAAGACGTCAGTGAAGAACTTCATACTTGTTAGAGCAGATGCCAGATGACACATTTCAGGGAGGTATTAGGAGCAAAGCATTTAGGGCGATTTGGCTGGATAACAAGTGGCACTTCGGTATAAAGGAGGGAAAACGCAGGTGGAAGGCTTCTCGGGAGCTTGCTGTAGCCTCTGCCCTTTGCGGTGGCTGGAAAGTGACCGCCGGTCCTTGCACTAGGTTAACTGTGGGAGGAACCATTTTTCTCCCTGCAGGCTCAGCGCAGCCTGTCGTTACTACACTGAGCCACCAGGGGGCAGAGCTTTCCTGTTAAACCGAAATCTAGATTTTTCAGCTCAACAGACATTGAGTTGATACTAAATCCTGGAGAGCATTATGATCAGTGAAATAAGCCAGGCAGGCCCCGCCGGTGTGACTCAGGGGTTGAGCATCGACCCTGCACCAAGAGGTCGCTGGTTCGATTCCCAATCAGGGCACATGCCCAGGTTGTGGGCCAGATCCCCAGTGCAGGGAGACAGCCAGTCCATGTTCCCTCTCTATCTCTCCCTCTCCCTCTCCCTCTCCAAGACAAAAGAAATAGCCAGTCAGAGAAAGACAGATATCACATGACTTTACTTATTTGTGGAATGTAATGAACAAAATAAGCTGATGAACAAAATAGACCCAGAGATATAGAAAGGGGTATGGAATCATACAAACCTCGGGGAGGTGGGGAGAGAAAAACCAAAGGACTTGTATGCATGTACGCATAACCCATGGACACAGACAACAATGCTGGGCGGGGGCGGGGAGGCGGGATGGGGAGGAGGGGTTCTGAAGAGAAAAAGGAGAACCCTCTGTAACAAAAGTTGCAAAAAATAAAATGAATAAAGATGTGATTAAGCCCTGGCCGGTTTGGCTCAGCGGTTGGAGCGTCGGCCTGCGGTACAGAGAGACCCGGGTTTGGTTCCCGCTAAGGGCACGTACCTCGGTTGCAGTTTGTCCCAAGCCCTGGTTGGTCGTGCGGGTGGCAGCCACTCGATGTGTCCCTTCACATTGATGTTTCTCTCTCTCTTCCTCTCTCTCCCTCCTGCTCTATCTGAACAAAACATGGAAAAATGTCCTCGGGTGAGGATTAAAAAAAAAAAAAAAGATGTGATTAAGAGGACTCACAGGTGAAAACTCTGTTTTTCTTCTGATTTTTTTTCCTTTTTTTTTTTGGCAACATGATCAGGTGGGTGGAACTGGGGAGAAAAGTGTGAACCAGCTCATAACTGCTGACCAGGTTAGACCTCCTCACGCCGTTTTCTGTCTTCCCGCAGACGCTCTTAAGAAGCGTGGAGAGTTTGATCCTAGAACATTCCAAAGCGTGCTGGTGTTTTTTGTTTTTTAACTTTTTTCCAAGCGTGAAAGAAACTTTCCTGGTATGTAAACCAAGGGAGATCATAAAGGAAACAGTGACTGAAGAATAGGAGCTGCCAGGAACCGTGTTTGCTTTTCTATCTGAGGTGGATACTTAGAGACACTTTGTAACTTACTTCGGTCGCAGGGCTGGTTCTCAGGCCGTCTTGTACACCCCGTTACACGGCCAGCTGCTACCACTGCTGCCCCCCCAAGGCACCGATTCTCAAACGTGGGTGCATATGACAGCCCGTGTGCGGTCTGAAATCATGCCGGTGCCTGGGTGCCCCGTTGGGGTTTCGGGCGTAGGTGGTGCGGAATGTGGCCTTGGCGTGTGGACTCATCATTTGATTCTGATGTGTGGCCGAGTCCGAGGGCCACAGTTCCTCATTTCCCTCTCCACCTGCATCGGGACTGCGTGGGCCTGATCTAGGAAGCATCCCACGTGCCTTGGATTTTTTTTTTTTTTAATCCTCACCTGAGGATATTTTTCTGTTTATCCTCAGATAGAGTGGAAGGGAGAGAGAGAGAAACATCGATGTGAGAGACACACTGACTGGTTGCCTCCTGCATGACCCGGACCAGGGCCGGCGACAAACTGCAACTGAAGTACGTGCCCTTGGCTGGAATCGAACCCGTGACTCATTGGTCCACGGGCCGACGCTCTACTGCTGAGCCAAACTGGCCAGCGCTGTGCCTTGGAATTTATTCAAATGCTTTAATTTCACAAAGAAAACTGGCATTCAACATTAACAGCATGCTTACAATTACCAGAAGGCAAAAACCAGAAAGAAACATGCTGAAATTATAATATTAGCTGCAGACACGGATGAAGCTTTGGAAATACTTGATGCATAAATGGCCATAATATGTAAACAGACACGCCATTTCTAAAGTTTGCATTGCACAGCTTAGTGTTTTTGTTTTTTTTTTCATGTTAAATCTAATTCCAATTAACATTTGGTCAAGTAATTTTGATGACTTATGATTTGAGGAACTCGAATATTAATGTTTACTTTTGAATTAAAGACCACAAGTTAAATCCACTAATGGCATTCAGTACAAACTTATTATGGGACATTAGAAAAAATCTGTTCAATTTATCAGCGGGAATATAAATTCATGCTGATTCTGTTAATCCGTCCTGCATGGTCTTCTATTCATGCAAAGCAAATATATAAGACCTACTCATTCCCATCCTTTTTGTCATAGAGTCATGCAAATGGCACAAATTAGTAATCATGAGCTATAAGTATGACTTTTCAAAAATGATTTAGGCTATACATACATAAACCAGAGGAAAATCGGTGTCAACAAGCCTGAAGCAGAGCATGTTAGAGCATGTTAGAGAAGGCATGTGGGCCTAAGGGTACAGTGGTGGAGTCACATGTTAGAGCATGTTAGAGAAGGCGTGTGGGCCCGAGGGTACAGTGGTGGGGTCACATGTTAGAGCATGTTAGAGAAGGCATGTGGGCCTGGGGGTACAGTGGTGGGGTCACATGTTAGAGCATGTTAGAGAAGGCATGTGGGCCCGAGGGTACAGTGGTGGGGTCACATGTTAGAGCATGTTAGAGAAGGCGTGTGGGCCTAAGGGTACAGTGGTGGAGGTCACATGTTAGAGCATGTTAGAGAAGGCGTGTGGGCCTGAGGGTGCGGTGGTGGAGGTCACATGTTAGAACATGTTAGAGCATGTTAGAGAAGGTGTGTGGGCCTGAGGGTACAGTGGTGGGGTCACATGTTAGAGCATGTTAGAGAAGGCATGTGGGCCTAAGGGTACAGTGGTGGAGGTCACATGTTAGAGCATGTTAGAGAAGGCATGTGGGCCTAAGGGTACAGTGGTGGAGGTCACATGTTAGAACATGTTAGAGCATGTTAGAGAAGGTGTGTGGGCCTGAGGGTACAGTGGTGGGGTCACATGTTAGAGAAGGCATGTGGGCCTGAGGGTACAGTGGTGGGGTCACATGTTAGAGCATGTTAGAGAAGGCATGTGGGCCTGAGGGTACAGTGGTGGGGTCACATGTTAGAGCATGTTAGAGAAGGCGTGTGGGCCTGAGGGTACAGTGGTGGGGTCACATGTTAGAGCATGTTAGAGAAGGCATGTGGGCCTGAGGGTACAGTGGTGGGGTCACATGTTAGAGCATGTTAGAGAAGGCATGTGGGCCTGAGGGTACAGTGGTGGGGTCACATGTTAGAGCATGTTAGAGAAGGCATGTGGGCCTGAGGGTACAGTGGTGGGGTCACATGTTAGAGCATGTTAGAGAAGGTGTGTGGGCCTGAGGGTACAGTGGTGGGGTCACATGTTAGAGCATGTTAGAGAAGGCATGTGGGCCTGAGGGTGCGGTGGTGGAGGTCACATGTTAGAGCATGTTAGAGAAGGCGTGTGGGCCTGAGGGTACGGTGGTGGGGTCACATGTTAGAGCATGTTAGAGAAGGCATGTGGGCCTGAGGGTACAGTGGTGGGGTCACATGTTAGAGCATGTTAGAGAAGGCATGTGGGCCTGAGGGTACAGTGGTGGGGTCACATGTTAGAGCATGTTAGAGAAGGCGTGTGGGCCTGAGGGTGCGGTGGTGGAGGTAACATGTTAGAACATGTTAGAGCATGTTAGAGAAGGCGTGTGGGCCTGAGGGTACAGTGGTGGGGTCACATGTTAGAGCATGTTAGAGAAGGCATGTGGGCCTGAGGGTGCGGTGGTGGAGGTCACATGTTAGAGCATGTTAGAGCATGTTAGAGAAGGCGTGTGGGCCTGAGGGTACAGTGGTGGGGTCACATGTTAGAGCATGTTAGAGAAGGTGTGTGGGCCTGAGGGTACAGTGGTGGGGTCACATGTTAGAGCATGTTAGAGAAGGCGTGTGGGCCTGAGGGTGCGGTGGTGGAGGTCACATGTTAGAACATGTTAGAGCATGTTAGAGAAGGTGTGTGGGCCTGAGGGTACAGTGGTGGGGTCACATGTTAGAGCATGTTAGAGAAGGCATGTGGGTCTGAGGGTACAGTGGTGGGGTCACATGTTAGAGCATGTTAGAGAAGGTGTGTGGGCCTGAGGGTACAGTGGTGGGGTCACATGTTAGAGCATGTTAGAGAAGGCGTGTGGGCCTGAGGGTGCGGTGGTGGAGGTCACATGTTAGAACATGTTAGAGCATGTTAGAGAAGGCGTGTGGGCCTGAGGGCGCCGTGATGAGGTCCTGACTACATTCCACTCTATGAAGGTCTTAATTTAGTGACTCACCAGGTGCTTTGCAATTTTAAGATCGATGCGATCAAGTGCAGAATGTACTAAGATTTACAATGTTTAGCAGGAGTGTATGAAGAGAGAAAGAGTGGAGTGTGCCTCTCTAGAATCTGGATTGAATTGAAAAACTTCTCTCTTTTGATCAAGAGATCATGAATACGTTTACACAGCTACCATTTTATTTTTTTCTTTATTGCTTTTTAGAGAGAGAGGAAGGGAGAGGGAGAGAAATAGAAACATCGATGAGAGAGAACATCGACTGGCCGCCTCCTGCACGCCCCCCACTGGGCATTGGACCCACAACCTGGGCCTGGGCCCTGACCAGGAATCGAACCAGCGACCTCTTGGTGCAGGGTCGACGCTCAACCACTGAGCCACACCGGCCGGGCACTCAGCTACCATTTTAAAAGTGTCACAGCTCTGAAAACAAGTGAGACCTTCACTGCGTTGAACTATATAAGCTCAATAAGAAGTTGGCCTTCCGCGGTTAATGGACACGGACAACAAAGCTGGGGACAGGGTGGGGAGGCAGGAGGAGGGGGGAATCAGTGGGGAAAAAAGGAGAACTATCTGTAACAAAAATAAATTAATTAAATAAAAATAAATAAATATATAAAAGCAAAAAAAAAAAAAAAGCCTTATTTATCTAATTCCAAAAAACAAGAAGCTGGCCATGGGGGTTGGGCCGGCAGCAGCGTGGTTGTATGCGACTGACTCGCTGTCAGCCTCAGAGGGATCCGCTCCCCGCGGGGGGTCAGCGTGTGCAGAGCCGGGCCTGCTCTCTCTCCTGCAGGAGGCCGCGCGGCCCAGCCGGTGGGGGAGACGCCCCGACCCAGAGGTGGGTTTACCTGTGCCACTGGTCCACGACGGCCCTGGATGGCAGCCTCCACATTATTTTAGGTTTGGGTTCGCCGCTGGCCGAGCAGTTCAGTAGCAGTTTATCCCCAAAGTTCACCTCATTCCACGTCTGGGACGCGAACTCTATCCTGGGGAAGGTCTCCTGCTCTTCCATTGTGAGAGTCACCACCCTCCTGTCGGAGCCGGTGGAGCTGGTCGCGATGCATTCGTACGTGCCGCCGTCCGAGGCGGCCACGTGTCTGAGGGACAGCGTCCCGTTGGAAAACAGGAACACGTTGGAGTCGATGAACTGCAACGGCTTCACTTCGGTGCCGTCGGAGAGAACCCAGTGCACCCTGGGCTGCGGGCTCCCTGTCGCAGTACAGGGCAGCGTCAGACTCGCCCCCCAAGTCCCGGCCACGACCTGCCTCCTGGGCTCTAGGATGACAGGAGGGGCCGCGATGACTTGTACCTTCACCAGCCGGGAGTCCTGGCCGGCGGAGTTGCTGGCCACGCATTTGTACACGCCGCGGTCGTAAACGCTGAGGTTGCGGATGACCAGGGTCCCGTCGGATGTCACCTGGGCCTGCCGGTTCCCCTCGGATGATTCGGAGACCGCCGTGTGGTTCGCGAGGATCCAGGAGATCGAAGGCCTCGGCCTCCCTTCGGCGCCACACGGCAACTCCACGGAGCTCCCGGAATGGACCGTGATCTCTCTGGCGTGTCTCTCCACGATCCTGGGGGGGTAGGAAACCACGGACAAGGTGACGTGAAGGTGGTCTTTGCCCAGCGGATTGGCTGCTGAGCACAGGTACTGTCCTCGGTCCTGAACGTCCACCCGCCGGATGGACAGGGTGCCATTGGGGAACACCTGGAGCCTGCTGTCCTGCTTCCCTGCAGACAGACCAACGCCTGGTCGGAGAGAGAAACGCATCCTTAGGTCATCACAGTTGAGACAGAAAACAATGCTCAAGCGCAGGTGCCCAGGGGGAAGCTATCTCTCTGTTAGGCCACTGCGAACAGGCAGGTTATACATCAGGACACCTTCACACTGTTACAGTTACTGTTACATTTACTCCTGATTCCTTTAGTCCTCGCAGCTTTCATTTAGAAGCCCAATTGTGCAACAAAGTGACAATCACCTCTTTATTTTATCCTCACCGAGGACATTGTTGCATTTATCCTCAGATAGAGCGGGAGGGAGAGAGAGAGAGAAACATCGACATGAGAGAGACACATTGAGTGGCTGCCACCCCCACGACCCTGACCAGGGCTGGGGACAAACTGCAACCAAGGTCCGTGCCCTTAGCGGGAACCGAACCAGGGACTCTCTGGTCCATGGGCTGATGCTCTAATCTCTGAGCCAAACGGCCAGGGCAACACCTCATTTTCAAACCATATTTCTTTGGGTCTGCTTTAAAAGAATTTCAAAAAATGGTTGTTGTTGTTGTTGTTGTTGTTGTTTTAATCCTCAATGAGGACATGCTTAGAGAAGGGGGCGGGGAGGGAGAGAGAGACATTGATGCGAGAGAACCACTGATGGGTTCCCTCCCACATGCACCCCGACTGCGGATCAAATATGCAGCCCGGGTACATGCTGTGGCCAGAATGAAACCAGTAACCTTTCGGTGCCCAGGATGACCCCAACCCACTGAGCCCCCCCGGCTGGGCCAAAAATGTTCCTAATTCACCTGTGTTCTCAGACCTTCTCAGGAGTAAGAAAGCCATGTGGCCAACGTCAATGTGCGTGTTCACAGCTTCTGTGTCCGGGGGACTTTGAAGCTGGTGCTGATTCTTTGGATGTGTGCCCCTGAAACATAACTCGCTCCCTCTTGTTTAAAAACTAAAGAAGACAGCCCTGGCCGGTTTGGCTCAGCGGTTGGAGCGTCGACCTGCGGTACAGAGAGACCCGGGTTCGGTTCCCGCTAAGGGCATGTACCTCGGTTGCTGTTTGTCCCCGGCCCTGGTTGGTCGTGTGGGTGGCAACCACTTGATGTGTCCCTTTCACATCGATGTTTCTCTCTCTCTCTCTTCCTCTCTCTCCCTCCCGCTCTGTCTGAACAAAAAAAATGCAAAAAAAAAAAAAATGTCCTCGGGTGAGGATAAAAAAAAAAAAACTAAAGAAGACAGCCCGGCCAGTGTGGCGAAGGGGCTGAGCGTCGACCCTGCACCAAGAGGTCGCCGGTTTGATTCCCGGTCAGGGCACATGCCCAGGTTGTGGGCTGATCCCCAGTGGGGGGCACGCAGGAGGCGGCCAGTCCATGTTCTCTCTCATCCATGTTTCTATCTCTCTCTCCTCCCTTCCTCTCTGTCTAAAATCAATAAAAAGGGGGGAAAAAAAACAACAACTAAAGAAGACAGACTTGTAAATACCTGGTGAGACTCTGCTCCAGTGGATGGTGGGCAGGGGGCTGCCCACAGCCACACACGGAAGGGAGGCATCCGAGTCAGCCGGGACCGTAAAACTGGCCGCTCTTCCTCCGAGGATTCTGGGCCTTTCCCATCTGTTCCTGGGCAGAGGCGCAAAGGGAGGGCGTTTGGAAATGGATAATTTTTGGACCGGTGTCTTATCAAAGCCCCCCTTCTCGGCAGGCTTCTGCATGTCCCAGTTGGAAGCCTGAGAGGTGTCCTCTGGCCTAGGCAGCGTGCTCAGCCCCGGCTCTCTGTCTTTTGGGGCGCTCTCCGGGTAGGACTTCGGCCAGACCTGGTTTTCTGACCAGAGAGACGGAGTCGACGTAGAACTCAGAGGTTTCGCTGTTACCAGCGCTGGCTCCGGAGCGGAATGTAGCCGAGCGGAGTGGATGAAGTAGGTGGTCCCAGCTGTGAACTTGGCACTGGGGTGAGCTTTGGGGGATGTCGCGACCCCTGCGGCGGAGTGCCCCGGGTCAGCCTCGTGCCTCGAAGGGCCCTGCGGCTTGACCTCTGTGCCGGCCAGCAGCTGGGGAGCGGGAGTCGCCAGGTTGTTAGTGACTGCGCTTTGATTGCTGCCGGGAGGGGACGTGGGGGTTGGCATCGGAGTGGCCCTGAGGCCCCCGAGCGCTGGCAGGGCTGGACGTCGGGTGGCGGCGGCCCGGGCTGCAGGCCTCTGCTGTGCTTTGCTGGACGACAGTCTCTCAGGAGCAGCTCTGCTCTTCGACGTCTGAGGAGCCTCTTGGGATGGCCCCTCACTTACATCCGTCCTGTCAAGTGTCCTTGGATAAAGATCAACTGCGCTTGAAGTTCTTGCGTCTTCCAGGGGGGGACGCGTGAAGGCAGAGACACTGGGCAGGGCTGCAGGTTCCACTCGGGTTGGGACAGGAAGTGTCACCACGGGGGGTGGAGTGAAGCCAGGCCTGGGGCCAGGGGAGCTGTCGGGGTCCCTCCTGCTCTGGGGATCCCTTTCGCTTCCCGCTTTTCGTGCCTGGGGTCTGGCGATTTGGGTTTTATTGATAGTGACCGATGCCGGGGCACTAGGAGGCGCTGTCGTCGCGGCTGTGACCTGCACAGTGGACGCTGCCTCAGAGCTACTGGGGGGCGTGGGGTGCAGGGGCGGGGAGGGCAGCGTCTGCCCGGTGGGGAGGCTTTGAGGACCGTGTGTTTCCGTGGCTCTGGGGTGAGTTGCAGCCAGCGTCACAGGTGGAACTGTCATCGCGTTTGCTGAGTGTGCGGCAGGAAAGGGGGAGACCCGATCGGTGGGGAAAGGAGGTGCCAGAGGAAGCACCGTGGCTTCGTGTCCACCTGAACCAAGCGGACAATGACCCTGTGGCCCCTCCGCCGGGACCTGGTTGTCGACAAAGGTCTGCCACCAGGGAATTTTCCCTCTTGAAAATCCTGTGGTGGCCGGAGCCGCAGGCGTCGGGGGGCCGCGGGTGGGGCCCGGAGGTGGCGGTAGGCTCCCCGAATCTTGTTTTGCTTCACTCCTGTTAGACGCCCCCGGGTCACCCGCGTGTGTTCTACGAGCTTTTTCCACAGTTACAGAGGTTGGGGCCTGAGTCCTGACCGGCCCAGTTGGAGTCACGCGGGCGCTCTGGGCACCGACATACTTCACTGTGGGTGTTGTTCTCTCAACATCCGCACTGGGTTTGTCACCAGGTGCCAGCAACTGGCTGGGGACTAGGGTTGTAGGGTCAGCTGCGGTGGCCCTGGCGAGGTCAGCTTCGGGGAGGATGATGGGGGCAGGTGTGGGAGGAGGGGACGTGGCTCCCCCAGGGGTGGGAGTGCAGGAGGGACACCCGCTGAGCCCTGGGGTGCTCTGCTCAGAACCCCTGGCTGCCGGCCTCAGGAGGGCGTACCTGTGCCGCGGGAGGGCCGGGGTTCTGAGTGGGCTCACAATGCGCCTCCGCCCCCAAACCTTCCTCCGTCTGCCGAGGCGGCTGGAGAGGGGGGTGTCAGGGGTGCTGTTTCCAGGTGCGTGAGCAGCGCCGCGTGGGCCTGGCGGGAGCCTTGCTGTGCTCAGCTCGCCAGCAGCGTGAGCGGAGAGACCGTAGCTTCGGGGCTCGCGGTCCCCCGGGCCTGCGGTCTGGCCTCCATGCGCGGCCTTTTCTGGCCCAAAGAATTGATCAGCTTTGCTCTCAGCAGAACCGAGCCTTGCGGCATCGACCTCTATGGTGAGCACCCCCGCTGTTTCTGGGGGCACCCTTTGCAGACGTTCCCTCCTGCCCCCCAGGTCGGGGGCGCCCTGAAACCGAGCTGTCTGGGGTGTTGGAGGAGGGACGGAGGAAGGGCTGTGGCGGGGCGTGTCCTGCAGTTTGCTGGAGGCGGCCGGGCTTGTGTTCTCTGTAGTTGTCACAGGAGCAGGTGCTTTGAAACCCGTTGGTTTCCCAGGGGGGAGGAGGCGCGGACTGACCGCGGGGGAGGCTCCCGCCACAGGGCCGCCAGGTGTCCCCCCGGATCCGGCAGGCGCCCTCGTGGCCTGAACACTGGGGACCTGAGCCAGGGCCACGGAGCCCTGGTCTGGAGGGAGCATGCCCGAGGAGCCCACGTCCTCACTGGGGCCTTTCCGGAGCCAGGTGACCCGTGGGGGGGGCCTGGCGGTGGGGTTCGCTCGCCCCTGTGGCGTGGTTCTCCTTTTTGCCTTCTCAAGAAGGGCGGCCCAGTGTCGCGGGTCGACCCTCCGCGCGGAGGGCGGGAACTGCCGCCTCTGCTCCCTGAAGCGACGCGTCGTGGGCTCTCCACGCCGCCCGTGTCGCACCTCCCGGTAGCCGTGCCCCTGACGGGTGCTCAGGACGTGTTTCCCCGCCTCGGCCCCGGGCGGAGCAGTCGTGGGCGGCTGGGCAGCTGGTGGCGCCTCCGGGTGCCCCGTGGGGTCAGGGTCCTCCGAGCCGGATCCCTCTGTTCCCACCTGATGCTCTACTGGGCGGGGCCCCTCCGTTTTGACGGAAACGTGGGTGATCAAGAAGTCGACCCCTGACGGGTTGGCCGCCACACAGCGGTAATGACCCTGGTCTTTGGGGGTGACCTGGAATATTCTCAGGGTGCCGTTGAGGATCTGCCTGTCCGCTGAGGACTGGGACAGCACCACGTTTCCTGGGAGAACCCAGCTCACTGAGGCATCGGGGACCCCCGTAGCCCGGCACGGAAGGTCCAGGGTCTCACCAGCGACCACGGTGTGAGGCGCCCCGTTTTCGTGGAGGGGCTCCATGCCGGGCTCAACCACGGTCACCCTGTAGGTGAGAATGTCCGCGTCCGCGCCGTTGGTGCTTACGCAGCTGTAAGTGCCGGTGTGGAGACCATCCGCGCCCCGGAGCTCGAGTTTTCCGCTGCGGTCTACCAGGACCCGGCCGTCCTCGCTCACGCGCGGGGCTCCCACGCGGCTGCCGTCCGCCAGCAGCCACTCCAGACGCGGGGCGGGGTCCCCGTGACCCGGGCAGTCGAGGGCAAGGGTCTCGCCCGCCACCACCGTGCGTTCCAGCTTGGCGTCGCGGTCCCGCGCAATCATGGTCCACGCGTGCCTCGCGGGCCCCGGGTCTGACTTTGGCAAGGTGACCTGGGCGTCGCTGGAGAACTGGATGTGCAGTGTGCTGCGGGTGGTGGCGGCTCTGTGGAGCTGCAGGGCGACGTGGGCTTGCATTACCCACGCGGGATCCGCGCTGAGGTCCACCTGGACGCCGGTGAACAGATCTTCCCGCCTGGGCGCCACCTGCTGATACCGGTAGCCGAGTGGCGGCCTGTCCGTGAGCAGGTGGCTTCTGTCTAGTACCAGGGGGGTGTCGCTGTACAGAGCCAGGATTTGCCACACGGGCTGAATGTGACTGTGATCCAGGTGGCACACCAGAAACGTGGAAAACGAGGTGTTCAGACTGATGTGGTCACTGTCTTCGGCGACTGCCCGGAACGTGGTCCTCCAGGGTCTTTGGATGCGACAGGCCATGTTCGCTTCGTTTCCAGACTGGTCTGTCAGGTTTAACGTGAGGGAGCCCAAGGGTGCCATGAAGTCTTGGGGAGAGACGGACATAGAACCGCCGTCTTCCAGGACAGTCGGGTGTCTCCGCTTCAGGGAGGGGTCGATGGTCGGCCTGACACACAGGAACGCGGCAGCGGGGACGGTGGCCAAGGGCTGGCCCGTGGAGGCCCTGGGGTTCGTGCAGAGGGGACACTGCTGGGCACCGGAGGCACCTCTGTCCTTCTTGCATTTTATGACATCTAGGAAAAACGACAACTGCATTATTGCCCGTTGTGGCCTCTGTGGATGGACACCGAAAAAATCGCTTCTGCTAGAACTGGAAAGAACACTCTGGGAATGTTAGTGTTCAATGGAAAGTTTTCTACGATTTCTGTCTGTGGGCTGGTTTCTAAATCACACAGTGTCTCTTCACAGGACAAGGGTTTCGTCAGTCTTGTAGGAAGTGCCTGGTACCTGTGGACCACTCAGTAAACACTCGTTGGCGGGAGAGGTTCCTTACTCGGGAGACTAGATGACATGCTTCTGTGTGTCACTTTTTATTAACAGCTATTTAGTTCTAGCTGCTCATCTTAATGTTTTGAGTCCCAGAACTTCATTGTCCTTCAAAAGATAAATGACCACTTACAAGTCCCTGGGTAGCCTTAGAACCCCAGCTACTTTCCGTTCCGCAAAAGAACAATACCTGAATTACGAGATACCGCGACCTGATCTAGTGCAGTCGTAACAAGACTGGGGAGAGCCCTGGCCGGTTTGGCTCAGCGGATAGAGCGTCGGCCTGCGGTCCTGAGAGACCCAGGTTCGGTTCCCACTAAGGGCACGTACCTCAGTTGCAGTTTGTCCCCGGCCCTGGTTGGTCGTGCGGGTGGCAGCCACTCGATGTGTCCCTTCCACATTGATGTTTCTCTCTGTCTGTTCCTCTCTCTCCCTCCCACTCTACCTGAACAAAAATGGAAAAATGTCCTCGGGTGAGGATAAAAAAAAAAAAAAAAAAGAATGGGGAGAAACAGGTGGACTCAGAAGACAGGGAAGCTGGAGGAACAATCAGCGGGGCCTGAGGGTTTGCTCGAACGTGGAGGGTGACGGAGCAGAAGCTGGAGGAAGACACAGCATGGCCGTGGTCACCGGACTGCAGACTCATCGGAGGAGGAGCAGGTTGGATGAAGGAGAACACGGGACCTGAGCTGCAGGGCAGCCCTTCAGAGGTCTCACAGCACTAGGAACAACCTAACCCTTTCCAAATCACACACGCCCCTCTTTCAGGTTCTCCGTGTCACCTGGCGGCCATTCATCACACGGCCGCTCTGGTGCGCCCACGTAAGAGGGCTGCTCGCCGGTGCTTGGTAAGAAGTGCAGGGTTTTCTCACACAAAGTGCAGCCCGGGTGCCCATCTCACGCAGTTGCTCCCATATCCTGCTCGGGACACAGCACTGAGCAGAGCGCCATGCTTCTTGGAGGATCTCATTCTGCGGAGCGGCTGGGCTGGCCACACCACCTTGCACAGGTGTGCCAGTCCTCTCGGAGGCTGAAGGAAGCCCCTCTGACCTCGGGCTCAAACCCCTTCCTCGGGTACTTTAGGGTGACAGTCATGCCGCGTAGATGCGGCTGCTCAGCTTCCTTGGGCAAATCTGAGACCCCAACCCACGCAGCTCAGGCAGCTGGTGACCTGGAAACCTGTGAGCACACGCAGGGGCTCTTCTCCCCCCCCCCCCCCCCGCCCCGGCTGGGACCCTGACTGCCCGCCGGCCTGTGCTCAGACCCTGCAGGGCAGAGCGCCTGACTGCCGGCTTGAGTAAACCCTGCCCCAAAGTCAGGCTCCCATCTCGGTGCGCTTGTTACTGCACCGGGACCACGGCCCGCAGGCCCTGGCCGTCGGGAATTGTGCCTCAGCGGCAAATCCCATCAAGTCACTTCCATTCCCCCCGTCACTCTAGGCTCCTCACACGGAGATGCTTTCCATTCCCCACCTCTGCCCCACCCACCAGGCTCTGCCCCGCCCCCACAGGCTCCGCCCCACCCACCAGGCTCTACCCTACCCACAGGTTCCGCCCACCCACCAGGCTCCACCCACCCCATCAGACTCTGCCCTGCCCACCAGCTCCACCCACCCACCAGGCTCCACCCTACCCACAGGTTCCGCCCACCCACCAGGCTCCACCCACCCCATCAGACTCTGCCCTGCCCACCAGCTCCACCCACCCACCAGGCTCCACCCTACCCACAGGTTCCGCCCACCCACCAGGCTCCACCCACCCCACCAGGCTCTGCCCCACCCACCAGGCTCCAACCTACCCCACCAGGCTCCAACCTACCCCATGAGGCTCCGCCCCCACCCGCCAGGCTCCACCCTACCCACAGGTTCCGCCCCACCCACCAGGCTCCACCCACCCCATCAGGCTCAGCCCCACCCACCGGCTCCACCCGCCCACCAGGCTCCAACCTACCCCACCAGGCTCTGTCCCACCCACCAGGCTCCAACCTACCCCATCAGGCTCCATTGCGCCCTATCAGGCTCTACCATGAGCCACTGCTTCTACCTACCCCCCCACATGTGCTGACACCCCTCTTTCCGTGGCTGCCCAACTACTCACATCCTCCAGGCCCAGCCAGAGGGCACTTCGTCCTGATGGGCTCCCTGCTGGACATACAGGCGCCTCCCCCTTCTCCGACCCTGCCCCTCACCCCCACCACAGTGTGACTGGTCTGGCTGCCTGTCTTCATGCTGTTCACCTGTATGCCCCAGGCCTGGCCAGGGGCGCTCGGGAAATGGCAGGGAGGCAGGGAGGCCTACCTCTAGACCACGATTGTGATCAGCTGAGATCTGTCCTAGGACAGGGGTTCCCCAGCGGCAGCTGGCAGTGTGGACAGGGCTCCCCTCCCTGCCCACACGCAGTACAGTCATATCCACTTACAGTGCATTCTCCCCAACTCAGCGGCCTGCGCTGCTGGGACTACATATATTAAGCTGGCCACTGAAAATGTTTTTATTATGATTACACTATACTTTGGCATTCAAACAAGCAGCTGTTATGTATGCAGAAAGGCACGGAAAAAGAGCGAACAGCAGGACATAAATTTAATAGCTGTAAAACAAATATTTATCGGAGAAATGGCCTCAAATCCGTCTGTCATAGAAAAGCAGCCCCGGGCGCTGCTTGGAGCCTACACAGGGAAGAACACAAGCGCATGAAACTGTCGCATCTGACCGCCCAGCCGTGTGCGAAAGAACTGCCCACCATACGCCAAGCAAGGCAACCGAGGCAACTGTCAGATCTCTTGGAACAGATGAGAAAAATTCCAAAGCAGCCCCGGCTGGTGTGGTTCAGCAGTCAGAGTGTCGGCGTGGACCGGAGAACCTCGGGTTTGATTCCCAGTCGAGGGTGCATGCCTCGGGTGCCAGTTCGACCCCCGGCCCCAGTTGGGGTCATGCAGGAGGCAACCAATTGATGTGTCTCTCTCACATCGATGTTTCTCTCCCTCTCTCTCCCTCCCTCTCACTCTATCTAAAAATCAATAGAAAAATATCCTCAGCTGAGGCTTAAAAAAAAAAAATTCTAAAGCAGAACTTGCCATGGCTGATTCATGAGCTTTGTTTGTATCCTGGTCAGAAGGAAAACATGTGCTCACTTAGACACAGCTGGGAGATGTTAGCCCTGATGGGTTTGGCTAATTATTCTTTTATATATATATATATTTATCTGTATATAGTAGATATGTACATAACAGTTTGGGGGCATATTAAGACCGCTGATGGAGGTGGACACTCGTAATCACCATCAAAAGAGCTATTTATTTATTTTTTTTATCCTCACCCGAGGACATTTTTCGATTTTTTGTTCAGGTAGAGTGGGAGGGAGAGAGAGGAACAGAGAGAGAGAGAAACATCGATGTGAAAGGGACACATCGAGTGGCTGCCACCCACACAACCTACCAGGGCTGGGGACAAACCAACTGAGGTACGCGCCCTTAGCGGGAACCGGACCCGGGTCTCTCCGGACCGCAGGCCGACGCTCTAACCGCTGAGCCAAACCGGCCAGGGCAAAAGAGCTATTTAATGGACAAAAGCTTGCCCTGGCCAGTTTGGCTCAGCGGTTAGAGCGTCGGCCTGCGGTCCGGAGAGACCCGGGTTCGGTTCCCGCTAAGGGCGCGTACCTCAGTTGAAGTTTGTCCCCGGCCCTGGTTGGTCGTGCGGGTGGCAGCCACTCGATGTGTCCCTTTCACATCGATGTTTCTCTCTCTCTCTCTTCCTCTCTCTCCCTCCCACTCTATCTGTACAAAAAATAGAAAAAAAAAAAAATGGACAAAAGCTTAGTTTAACAAGAATTACTGAGCACGTACTATGCCCTAGGCAGCTTCTGGGGGCTTAGGATAGATCAGTTAGACTTAGGAAAGGCAACAGACAGGTAAATACTGATAAGTATGATAAAACGTTGTCCGTGCAAGAACAGAAGTGTGGGCACATGGGAAGTGGAGAAAGGGTTATTCTGGGGGGGAGGGGTGCGCAGGAGCAGCTGGGCTCCCGGAAGGAGCGAGTGCTGAGCAGAGCTGGACCCTGGAGCCCACGGGCAGCGAAGGAAGCACGTGCTCCTGGCGGGAAGCAGGTGTGTCTGGGTGGGAGGGTGGCCCGGAGTGGACAGGAAGGACTTGAGGCTAAAGGTAGGCAGAAGCGCCCTGGGGGACCTGGCATGCGGCTCCAGGCCAGGGTCAGCAGACCTTTTCCGTAAAGGGCCCGATGGAGAGGATTCTAGTGCTGTGACCCGGTTCTCTGACCCAGTGACGCCCCTACTGCGGTGCCACCGAAGCAGACTTAGTGGACACGTGCGGACTGGACCTGACTGGGTTCCAGGCAACTCTGCTTCCAGAGCTTGGTGAGGGCCGGGCTGGGCCCAGGGGCAGCTCCCGGACTCTGGTACTAGCAGAACCGGTTCTTACAGTGGGATGTTCTACCTGATGGATCGGCAGCGGCTGACAAAATAGACACCAGCCTGGGTGACCAGAGCCTGCAGTCAGCACAGTGGCACCTGGCGGACCCCTTGTAGGGACTGAACACACTGGTTTGCTCTCTGGGGTACAGCTGTCCCCCTGCGGGCGCCTGTTCTCTTCCCTCTGTCCGCTGCTGCGGTTCTCAGACGCGGCTCCTGTGCTTCCTCGCGTCCTCCCTGTAATCCAGCCAACGGCCCACGACCACCCACTGTCCCTCCTCACTCCTGCTCGCCTCGTCTCTCCATGGCGTCGGAAAGTCCTGAGAACCCCCCAACGCCGACTGCCTTTCAGACGTCGGTGAAGCCACATCCAGGCGGGTCTCCCCGTGTTCCCACCTGTCACTCCCCAGAAGGGAACCACCTCCTCGCTGGGCTCCTGCTTCTGCCCCTGCGGCCCACCTGTCCGCTCCCAGATCAGGGGTCCCTGGGAACCACCCAGCGGGAAACTGCTCAAAATCCTTCGCTGTGAAGTCTTTTTCATTTATATTTTTATCCTCAGCCGAGGACATTTTTCCATTTTTTATTCAGATAGAGTGGGAGGGAGAGAGAGGAAGAGAAAGAGAGAGAGAAACACTGATGTGAAAGGGACACATCGAGTGGCTGCCACCTGCACGACCCCACCAGGCCCGGGGACAAACTGCAACCGAGGTACATGCCCTTAGCGGGAACCGAACCCGGGTCTCTCTGGACCGCAGGCCGACGCTCTAACAGCCAAACCGGCCAGAGCCAGTGTGTTATTTTAATTATTCTTTTCAATGATCATTATTCCCATATAGGTGAGAAAACAGAGGCATAAGAGGTTCAGTGGTGATCCGACATTCCTAACTGTTCATCTGGAAATTGAGGGCTAGTGTGAGGATTCAGTAGACAGTATGGACCCCAAGGCCAAGCTGGGTGAGGTCCCTCCCTCTCCTTTCTCTCTCGTCCCTCCTTTCCCGGTTGATGGACCTTTGATGCCCAATTTCTCTCCCTTTCATCCAGGGCAGAGCTGCTTTTACTGACCGAGCTCCTGGAGAACTAAATGCTCAGAACAAGCATTTGGTGTCTTTCGGTCCCAGCCTGACAGCCTTCTGTGTGTTCAGCATATTTACCTGGAAGATGCTAAACACCTGGAAGGCAAGGGCGGTGTCTGTTGGCCGAATATCCTCACACTGTCCAGTCAACGTTTTCTGACCAACGTGTGACCCCTTGTATCAGGGTCCTCAACCCTCCCGATGCCGCGGCCCTTGAACACAGCTCCTCGTGCTGTGGGGACCCCCAACCCTAAAATTATTTTCGTTGCTACTTCATAACTGTAATTTTGCTACTGTTACATCTTAGGTGACCCGTGAAAGGGTCGTTCTTCCCCCAAAGGGGTCGCGACCCACAGGTTGACTTACCACTCGCTGCCTTATATGAACTGACTACATACATGCACACATAACATACACATATACATACGTGATATGTATATATTTATATATTTCACAGCAGTAACTTTAAAGCTTTTCCACTTTTCTCAAGCTTCCAACCTTGACCCCTTCCTGCCACCTCCCCACACGTGACGAAGGAGGAGAAGCCATCGGGCACCAATGTCCTCTGTCTCCTCCACCAGACCTGCCCGTGCCCACCTGGCCCTTCAGTGTCCACCTCCGAGGGAAGCGCTCCCGCCGCGGCTGGACCTCCTGTCCTGTCTCCTGTCCCGTCTCCGGTCCCCATCTCCTCCGGGGACGTGCTCAGCTCACCCTGTGCGGTGCTGTCCCCTTCTCTCAATGCTTCCTGTCCCCTGGAACGTGCTCCAGGCTGTCTCCTGACTGACCGCACCTGTCCACCTGGCTGCCCCTCCTCCCTCACGGAAGTCAAACCTCTCCAAGGAGTGGACTGCGCCCCCATCGCTCCCCGTGTGGCCATCCGCTCCCATCAATCTCCAGAGTAACCAGCTGTCCCCTCTGAGGACCAACGGGGTCCTTTCAGTCATTATCTTAAGGACTCAATTTTAAATAATTATTTAATCGGGATTCGACAGTAGTGCAGGTCGCTGTTTGCCAGTTTCCCACACGAGTGTCAGCTCCGCGAAGGGAGGGCCTGACTGTCTGGGTCACTTTCGGATCCCGGCGTCCTCCGGGGTCCTGTTCAGAGGTTCACGTTAAGTCCGAGCGGACTGAGCGGATCCCGCGTTCCTCGGGGGGAGTCCCACTTCGCCGTCAAAGGATGTGTTCTACCCTCGCTGTCCGCCGCGGGCTTATCTGTAACCCACCAGCAGTGTGCTCAGAGCAGGGACGGTGCCCTGGGCATGTCCGTCACCAGCGCATGACGTGGGCAAACGTGGGCAAGGGTGTTCACGGCTCAGGGTGTCGGGGGAGTAAGTAACACACGGTTCCCCCAGTTGGCCAGAACCCAGGAGCGGTGATCGGCTAGTTGACCCCTGAAACATTAACTAATTCAAGAGCAATTAATTCATGCAAAAATCAAGAGGCTGTTATCTCTGACTTACCACGTAGACTGTGTTTCTCCCACCCAGCTTCCCGCGGCCCCTCCGTTACCCTCGAAGCACCTCCAGGCAGGTCGCTTCTGTCGCATTAGGACAAAGAAAGAAACGGCAGGTACCTGGCTTCTCCTGCATCCAGACCGCCAGCCACTGCAGACGGCAGTCACAGGTCCAGGGGTTCCCGTGCAGGTAAAGGCTTTCCAGCTCGGGCATGCAGGAGACCGTCTCTTCGGGGAGGGTGCTCAGAAAGTTATCGGACAAGTACAGGTACTTAAGGAAGGATATTTTAAAAATCTGGAGGTAGCGCAGGGCGACAAATGTATCCGGGTGGAGCTTGGTGAGCCGATTCCCTTCCAGCTGCACCAGCCGGAGGGCGGTGAGCCCGTGGAAGACCTCAGGGTGGATAAACTCGATAGTGTTGTGGTCCATGTGCAACCGAGTTAAGCTCTTGAGGCCAGCGAAAGTATCCTTCTGAAGTCGTTGGACTTTGTTGTAGCTCATTTTTAAGACCTAAGAACGCAAAGATTTAGTTTGTCGAAGGAAGGACCTCAGAAGAGAAACGTGTGCCAACAAAACATACGCGGAGATGAACCGGACACCCTGTTTCAGCTCTGATGCGAACAAATGCGGTGCGACTTCAATATGAGTTTACCAGGGACACGGGACACCCCCGGACATTGGCTGATACTAAGGAATTGTTGTTAATAGAAGATGTAATAATGTCGAAGTTATTTTTAAAGGGTTCCTCAACGTTGAGATAGATATTGAAGCATTTGCAGATGACACATTGTGATATTGGGGATTTTGTCCCCAACGATATAGTGAAATGGACAAGAGGTGAGCCAGGTCCAGGGAAAACCATCAGGACGGCTGATAATTCTTCAAGGCCGGTGACCCCACATTGGGGTTCATTAGCCTATGCTACTTCTGCATTGAACATTTGAAAATTTAGTGCGGAAAATGGAAAATGTCCATACTAAGTTTTTAAGAAGGAGCTTGCTATTTCAAGTAAATTTGAGATTTATGGAACCTGAATTTTTCATAAGAAATATATTGACTTTAGTTTATTTTATATTTACAATGGCTCTGTTGATATGTGATTCCCATGCCATAAAATTCACCTTTCTAAACAATTCTAAACAAGTGTCTTGTGGTATATGCACAGAGTTGCACAGCCGTCTCTGCTGTCTAATTTTAGAACATGTTCATCACCGCAAAGTAAAAACCGACGCTCGTTAGAAGCGTATTCCCCACCCCCTCGCCCTGGAAAACCATGAGATTACTTTGTGTCTGTGGATTTGCCAATTGTCAACACTTAAAGCAAATGGGATTGTACAACACGTGGTCTTTTGCATCTAGCTTTCGTTCAATTAGCCTAATATTTTCTTTTAATTTTTTTTCCCTGTATTGATTTTTAGAGAGAGAGGGAGGGATAGGGCGAAAGAGATAGAAACATTAATGAGAGAGAACATCAATTGGCCGCCTCCTGCCTGGCTCCTACTGGGGATCAGCCCACAACCTGGGCATGTGCCCTGACTGGGAATCGACCTGGCGACCTCTTGGTGCAGGGTCGACGCTCAGCCACTGAGCCACACCAGCCAGGTTGGCCTAATACTTTCAAGACCCATCCATGTGTAGCACACATCAGCCCTTCATTCCTTTTTATTGCTGACTAATATTTCATTGCATACATGTAGCACCTTTTAGCAGTTTTCCAGTTTACCACATTTGGGGTGTTTTCCACTTTGGGGCTATTATGAATAATAGGATTTGAAGTTAAAATAATTTTTTAATAGTTCAGTAGTGTGTGGGTAACCTTCTATTTCTTCTCCAGTTACTAGGTAAACACGCTTTCTCTCCAAAAAAAGAAAAGTCAAAGAAACGCCAGTCAAGACAAGGGTGCCTCATCATTTTTCCTGATTTGCCCCAATCTGTCGTCTCTGCCGAGTGCTTTTGCAGAATGCCAACTCCCTAACAAGTAAAGGAAACAAAATTGCAACCAGAAGAGCTTTGCCCCGACACTGCCTGGGAGTTCAGTCTCACACTCAATGGTGCTCAATGTCTATTCAAGACTCGGTCGAGAGTACACGTGTGGAGAATTTCATGAAAGACAGGTATTCCATCTAGTCCTCTGCACACAGAGAATTTAAATAAAGCCCAAGGGAGCCAATTCAAGGGAACCACACACCTGGACTATGGCTTTGTACAGCCCTGGTATGATGCTGAAAGTCTCTACGCATCCACGAGCATTGTATCTGTTATAAGGAGATTACTGACTTAACTGCTGCACCGCATGTTATCAGAAGCTTTGGGGGACAGATTTAAAATCAGATGTGGGTGTGCTTTTATTCGTTCTCATTTATTAAAATGAAGAGGCATCATGACTTGAGCTTCTGAAAAGCCTCCAGCCCCCCTTAACGAGGGCAGACTGTCCATCCATAGCCTGCCTCTCTCCGGTCCTTAGACTTGCTCTGCCCGGTACTGGTCCACCTGCTGGCGTGAGAATTCTCACAATCTGATGCGTTCTTGGAAGTCTCCATGATTTCATGAAGTTTCTGAACAAGGCAGGACATCAACAAGTGAGTAAATGACGTGAGACTAAGAATGTCTGTTGCTGTAGAGAAAGCCAGCTTCTGAGAGAGCAATTATACTGAGCGCCACCTCCAGCTCCCAGATGAACAGGGACTAGAACTATCCTTTTAGGGTTACTTTTTGAAGGATCAGTCATCACTGGATATTACTTTTTCCCTACCAGGCTGAGGCGTGAGAAAACTTGCCTCTGCATTTTTTTTTTATTATTCTAATTTCCACATACTGTTGCATTTAAAAAGATATCAGTTCTTTGACATTCTCCTCCTTTTATTAAAAAAATATTTTATTTATTTTTGTTACAGATCTTTCTCCTTTTTTCCCCCATTGACACCTCCCTCCCCTCCCTGTCCCCAGCTTTGATGTCCATGTTCATTTGTCATGCATATAAGTTCTGTGGTTTATCTCCTTCCCCAACCCCCTCTTCTGGGGATTGTCAGTCTGTACCCCACTTCCACATCTCTAGGACTACCTTGTTCCTCAGACTGTTATGTTCATTATATTCCACAAATAAGTGAGATCATATGGTACTTGTCTTTCTCTGCTTGGCTTATTTCACTTAGGATAATACTTTCCAAGTCTCTCCATGTCATCTCAAAGGATAAGAGATCTTTCTTTCTTACGGCTGCATAGTACTCCATTGTGTATATGTACCACTGCTTTTTTATCCATTCGTCTACTGATGGACATTTGGGCTGTTTCCAGATCTTAGCTATTGTAAATAGTGCTGCTACAAACATGTGGGTACATATATTCTTTCTGATTGGTGTTTCAGGCTTCTTAGGGTATATTCCTAGAAGCGGGATCACTGGGTCAAATGGAAGTTCAATTTTTAATTTTTTGAGGTAACACCACATTGTTTTCCATAGTGGCTGCACCAGTCTGCATTCCCACCAGCAGTGCACTAGAGTCCCCTTTTCTCCACACCCTCACCAACACTTGTTGTTTGATGATTTGTTGATGGTGGCCATTCTGACAGGTGTGAGGTGACACCTCATTGTTGTTTTAATTTGCATCTTTCTGATGATTAAGTGATGTTGAGCATTTCTTCATATGTCTCTTGGCCATTAGTATGTCCTGTTTGGAGAGGTGTCTATTCAGCTCCTTGCCCATTTTATGATTGGGTTCTTTGTCTTCCTTTTGTTGAGCTGTATGAGCACTCTATATATTTTGGAAATTAACCCCTTATCTGATGTATCATTGGCAACTTTGCTCTTCCATACCGTGGGTAGCCTTTCCATTTTGGTGGTTGTTTCTTTTGCTGTGCAGAAGCTTTTGAGTTTGATATAGTCCCATGTGTTCATTTTCTCCTTTATTTCTGTTGCCTTAGGTGTTGTATCAGTGAAAATTCTGCTGGATGTGATGTCTGAAATAATGTTGGCTACATTTTCTTCTTGGATTTTTATGTTTTCACAAGTGACATTTAAGTCTTTTATCCATTTTGAGTTTATTTTTGTGTATGGTGTAAGCTGATGGTCTAGTTTCATTTTTTTTGCATGTAACTGTCCAATTTTTCCAACACCATTTATTAAAGAGGCTGTCTTTACTCCATTGTATGCTCTTGCCTCCTTTGTCAAATATTAATTGAGCATATTGCCTTGGGTCCATTTCTGGGTTCTCTGTTCTGATTCACTGGTCTATATGCCTGTTCTTGTGCCAGTACCAGGCTGTTTTGACTACAGTGGCTTTGTAGTATAACCTGATATCTGGTAATGTGATCTCTCCAACTTTATTCTTCTTTTTCAAGATTGCTGTGGCTATTCGAGGTCTTTTTTGGTTCCATATGAACTTTTGAAGTATTTGTTCTAGTTCTGTGAAGTATGCCGTTGGTATTTTGATGGGGATTGCACTGAATCTATAGATTTCTTTGGGTAGTATGAACATTTTAATGTTGTTAATTCTTCCAATCCCTGAAGAAGGTATATGCTTCCATTTTTTTTATATCTTCCTTTATTTCTTTTTTTAATGTCCTGTAGTTTTATGCAAATAGGTTCTTTACTTCTTTGGTTAAGTTTATTTCTAGGTATCCTAAGTTTTTTGCGGCAATGGTAAATGGGATTGTTGTTTTAGTTTCTCTTTCTATGAGTTCATCATTGGTGTCAAAGAACGGCATTGATTTCTTGATGTTAATTTTGTATCCTGCTACTTTGCCAAATTCATTTATTAGCTCTAGTAGATTTTGTGTGGAGTCTTTAGGGTTTTTCATGGATAATATCATGCCATCTGCAAATAATGACAGTTTCACTTCCTTCTTTCCAATTTGGATCCCTTTTATTTTTTCTTCCTGTCTGATTGCTGTGGCTAAGACTGCCAGTACTATGTTAAACAAGAGTGGCGAAAGTGGACATCCCTGTCTTGTTTCTGATCTTAAGGGAAATGCTTTTAGTTTTTGTCCATTGAGTATGATGTTGCCTGTAGGTCTTTCATATGTGGACTTTATTATGTTGAGATATGATTCCAGTATTTCCACATTGCTGAGCATTTTTATCAGAAATGGGTGCTGAATTTTGTCGAATGCTTTTTCAGCCTCTATTGATATGATCATATGATTTTTATCTTCCATTTTGTTTATGTGGTGAATCACATGTATTGATTTACAAATATTGTACCAGCCTTGCATCCCTGGGATTAATCCCACTTGGTCATGGTGAATAATTTTTTTGATGTATTTCTGGATTCAATTTGCTAGTATTTTGTTCAGAAGTTGGGCATCTATGTTCATCAGGGATATTGGCCTGTAGTTTTCTTTCTTTGTAGTGTCTTTTTCTGGTGTTGGAATTAGAATTATGCTGGCCTCATAAAACAAGTTTGGAAGTCTTCCTTCTTGAATTTTTTGAAATAGTTTGAGGAGAATGGGTATTAGTTCTTCTTTGAATATTCGGTAAAACTCCCCCATGAAGCCATCCAGGCCTGGGGTTTTGTTTGCTGGGAGAGTCTTGATTACCTCTTCAATTTCCTTTGTTGTTATTGGTCTGTTCAAGTTTTCTATCTCTTCAGTTTTGGGAGACTATGTGTTTCTAGAAATTGGTCCATTTCGCTTAGATTGTCAAATTTGTTACCGTATAATTGTTCATAATATTTGTTAACAATCCTTTGTATTTCTGTGGTGACAGTTATTGTTTCTCCTCTGTCATTTCTGATTTTGTGTATTTGGGTTCTCTCTCTTTGTTTCTTGGTGAGTGTAGCTAAGGGTCCATCAATCTTGTTTATCTTTTCAAAGAACAAATTCTTTGTTTTATTGGTCCTTTAAATTGTTTTTTTTTTTTGGTCTCCGTGTCATTTATTTCTGCTCTGATCTTTACTATTTCCTTCCTTCTACTTGTTCTGGGGTTTTCTTTTTGTTTGCTTTCTAGTTCTTTAAGTTATGGGGTTAGATAGTCAATTAGAAGTTTTTCTTGCTTCTTGAGGTCGGCCTGTAGTGCTATGAACTTCCCTCTCAGGACTGCTTTTGCTGCATCCCATAGAATTTGTGTTGTTGTGTGTTCATTTTCATTGGTTTCCAGGAAGTTTTTAATTTCTTCCTTGATCTGCATGGTAACCCATTCATTGTTCAATAACATGCTATTTAGCCTCCATGTTTTCAAATGTCTTTGCATGTTCTTGTTGCAATTGATTTCTAGTTTCATACCATTGTGATCTGAGAAGGTGCTTGAAATAATTTCAATCTTCTTGAACTTGTAGAGACTTAGTTTTTGTGCCCTAACATGTGGTCTATCTTTGAGAATGTCCCATGTGCACTTGAGAAGAATGTGAATTCTGTAGTTTTGGGGTGTAATTCTCTGTAGATATCTATGAAATCTATTTGATCTAGCACTTTATTTAGAGTCTGTGTTTCCTTGTTAATATTTTGTCTAGATGATCTATCCAGTGATGTCAGCGGTATGGTGAAGTCCCCTGCTATGATTGTATTGCTGTTGATTTCTTTTTTGAAGTCCTCCAGAAGATTTTAAATATATTTTGGTGCTCCTATATTGGGTGCATATATGTTTACCAAGGTTACATCTTCCTATTGGATAGATCCTTTCAATATTACATAGTGGCCTTGTTGTCTCTAGTGATGGCCTTCGTTTTGAAATCTATTTTATCAGATATGAGTATTGCTAACCCAGCTTTTTTTTCTTTCTTCCATTTACTTGAAAGATTTTTTTCCATTCCTTCACTTTCAACCTATGTGAGTATTTTGTTGCAAGATGGGACTCTTGTAAAAAACATATATGTGAGTCATGCTTTCTTATCCAGTCAGCTACTCTGTGTCTTTTTATCAGAGCATTCAGTCCATTTACATTTAAGGTGATTATTGACATGTACTAATTTATTGCCATTTTTGTTAAGTGTGGTTATATATTTCTTTCTATTTCTTCTATTAATTACAGCAGTCCTTTTAGCATATCTTGCAGTGCTGGTTTGGTGCTAATATATTCCCTTTGCCTTTTTTTTTTTTTTTTTTTTTTGTCTGGGAAGCTCTTTTTTTGACCTATTTTGAATGCTAGGTAGTCTTGGATTCAGATCCTTGTTTTTCATGACCTTGATTACCTCATGCCACTCCCTTCTGGCCTGTAGTGTTTCTTGTGAGAAGTCAGCTGAGAGCCTTATGGGGTTCCCTTTGTAGGTAACCTGTTGTTTATCTCTTGCTGCCTTTAGGATTCTCTCTTTGTCTTTAATTTTTTGGCATTTTAATTATTATGTGTCTGGGTGTGGGCCTGTTTGGGTTCTTCTTATTGGGACTCTCTGTGCTTCTTGAACTTGAATGCCTTCTTTCTTCACCAATTTAGGAAAGTTTTCTCTCACTATTTTTTTCAAATATATTCTTTAACCCTTGCTCATTTTCTTCTTTGGGGACTCCTATGATGCGAATGTTACTACGTTTCCAGTTGTCCCACGGTTTCCTTAAACTGTCTTCCCATTCTTTAATTGTTTTTCCTTTTGGTTTTCTGATTGGTTGATTTTTTTTCTACCCTGTCTTCTAATTCACTGATCTGGTCCTCGGCTTCCTCTACTCTGCTGGTTAGTCCTTCTAATGTGTTCTTTATTTCTGCTATGTCATTCTTCATTTCCACTTGGTTGGTTTTCAATGTTTCTATATCTTTACTCATGGTGCTGATGTCCTTACTCATGCTGTTGAGCTTCCTCAAGATCATGGCTCTGAACTCTACCTCTGATCATTTGCTTAGCTACATTTCAATAATCTCATCTTTGATAGAGTTCTCTTGTTCTTTGATTTGGGACTTGTTTCTTTGTTTCACCATTTTGGCTATATCAGTGGGTTAGGGAGCCTGCCAAATTTTCCCTGTGGGTGTTGGTGTTCTGCTGTTTGTGGCTCCCTCTACTGGGTTTGGAGGAGCCTGGGTGGGCTCACGTTAAACACCACTGTCAAGTCTTACTTTCCTGGGTAGATTTGCAAGCCCAGGAAATGTTCAGTTATCCTCTAGCTTTTTCCTGGTGGCTAGTAGTCTCAGTTACTCAGGGCCTTGGAATGTAGGCCTGGTGTTTTGAGTAGGAGGATTTTCAAAAGGCGGGACAGATACTGCTTTTCATGAGCCTCAATTTGCATTTCTGGACGTTATGCAATTTGCCTCACCTGGAACGGGCTGAATCTCCGAGGGAGGGGCTGCTGCTGTTCCCCACAGTTAGGGGAAGGAGCAAGCTGGCCACTGCCCTTTGTGGCAGTGACTCAGCAGAAACCCTGAGTGCCCTCCAAATCCTGGGTGTCCCCACAGAGTTCCAGCCCAGTCTGCCCTCCCTCTGCCGGAGTCCCAGGTGAGTGGCTGTAGCCAATCCAGTGCTCTGTCCGGGTTCTCTGTGCTGTGAAGCAGGCTTGGTCTCTATTCCCCAAGGGCGCTGCTCACAGCTAAGACTGCTGCTGTCCCTGGGCTCCCAGCCCGCCACCCTCTCATGTCTCCGCAGATCCTACCAGTGTCCCTGGTTTTATGGTCTTGTCCTGCTGCTTTTCTGTTGGATTTTTCCAACGATTTGTCTTTATTTTAGTTGTAATTCCCATCTGGTCCTGGGAGATCGTCTGTGTAGCTTCCATTCACTCCGCCGCCATTTTTGTATCCTTCGACAAGCCCTCTTCTTTTTTTTTTTTTTTAATCAATTGGTTTATTTTTGTTACAGATGGTTTTCCTTTTTTCCCCATTGACACCCTCCTCCCAATAACCTCACAATTATTGTCTATGTTCATAATTATATACACATACATGTAAGTTCTGTGGTTTATCTCTCCCCTCCCCCGCACCCCCTCTTCTGAGGTTTGTCAGTCTGTACCCTACTTCTATGTCTCTGGGTCTGTTTTGTTTTGTTCATCAGTGTATTCTGTTCATTATATTCCACAAATGAGTGAGATCATGTGGTGTTTGTCTTTCTCGGACTGGCTTATTTCACTTAGCGTAATGCTTTTCAGGTCCCTCCCTGTCATCTCAAAGGATCAGAGATCTTTCTTTGTTACAGCTAGCTGCATGTGACGTTCTCCCTTGCTGTCTACTTCTAACCCACAGGATGTTGATGTTCGCTGCTGTAAGAACAGGCTGTCTCTGGAAGCCATCACCTGCCCCATGCCCACCGGGCTCACCTGCAGGGCCCCCAAGTCCGAGAAGGTCCTCGCCGGGATTGTGTGGATGCTGTTGCTGTGCAGCATCAGCAGCTGCAGCTTGCCCAGGCCAAGGAAGTCGGTCTCCGTCAGTCGGACCAGGCTGTTGTACCTGAAATACCAACAGCATTCTAGGTGTAAGCGAAGCCTGCCTACTCAAGTTCAACGGTCAGAGCAAGAGCCGCGGGGCCCCCCACACACCAATGCCTCTCGTTTCATCTGTGCTCTAAGAAGAGAACCCAGTGCTTGAATGTTACTGAAACCCACCAGGTGCCACGCCCAGCAGCCCGTGCTGTCTCTGTTACACCACCTTATTCAAAGACCTCTAGGTGTGTGCTGCAGCTTTGCTGGAATGCAGTGACTCCGCCCACCTCTGAGCCCAGGACACAATTTCATCACCTGGTGGAAGTCATCATTGCAAAGCACTGGTTGAGAAACCTGGGTGGTTCGGCCATGATTATGAACCCAGGCACTCGGTAGCACTAGCAGTGACCCTGATTAAGATCTGTAATGTTTCTGAGCCTTTGTTGTCTCATCTGTAAAATTCAAATCATAGAACCTCCTCCAAACGGGTTAAAAGAGGAGACACATGACGAGTGCTTAGCTCAATGCCAGGACATAGTACGTACAAGGTGACGGCGGCTGTTATTACCAGTGATTGCTCCTAAGTCCCTTTGCTAAATTATGGTTCTTTTTTTTTTTCTTAATTCTTTTTTGTTGATTTTTAGAGACAGAGGAAGGGAGAGGGAGCGAGATAGAAACATCAATGAGAGAGAACATCAATCGGCCACCTCCTACATGCCCCCTACTGGGAATCTGACCCACAATCTGGGCATGTGCCCTGACCAAGAATCAAACTGGGGACCCCTCCGTCCATGGGATGATGCCCAATCCACTGAGCCACACCAGAGGTCAATCTAATTCTTAACAAGAGCTGAAGTACTTTGCAGCACCAAGGTAGCCAGAACGAAGCTTTCTAAGTCATGCACCTTGCGGCCTCCCCAGAGCGACTTCAGGAGACGTCTCCTAACGGGCGCTGGCAGTTAAATGTTCTCATTGCCCCCAACAAGCTTAAGAGGCGCACGTGCCCGTTTCGGAAGAGACACCTGACTGCAGTTGTGGGTACCCTCTGGGGCCAGCCCTCCCGGAGCAGCGGGCAGCGCGAGGCCCCACGCACCCTAGGTTGATGCGCTGCACGTCCGGCGGGATGCGCTCCGGGATGGAGGTCAGGTACCGGAACGTGCAGTGGACCTCGGCGGGAACGTAGCAGGCGCAGCGGCGCGGGCAGGCGCTGCCCCCGGGCGTGGCCACCAGGCAGACCACGGCGCAGGCCACCAGCGAGCAGGGCGCTCCACCGCCGTTCACTTTCATTCTGAAAAACACCACAGCGCGGGTTGTAACTAGGGCTGGAGCCCAGGCCCGCCACGACCGCACACAGGAACGGCCGTGCTCGCGGAGACCTGCCCGGAGGGTCCCAAGTGGCCAGTTCTGTTCCTAACGTTTATGGGGAAACGCACTCTGTCCAAAGCCGCAGGGCGCTCTGGCCTCGTGGGATCCAGTGAATTTCCTCGTGAAAATTCCTTCCTAGCGTTTCCCTTGTTCATAAAAAGCAGCAATCCTTATTGCTTCGCGATTCATTAAAAAAGAGAAAGTTAAGGCCATAATAAAGATATTGTAACAACTGAATTACATAAGGCTGTTTCCTGTTTATCCATTAGTTCTGTTAGACTGACTTTAAAAACTTGTCCTAAAGCCAATACCTGGGCATGACAGAAAATTTGGAAGCTGTAAAGAAGGAGAAAAAATTGAAATGATTTATATTCCCGCCACCCAAATCTAATCATGAACATTTTGCTATATACCTTCCAGACTTTTCTCTATATTGTGTATATGTGTGTGTGCCCAACTGAATTTTGCAACACTTTGTACCATTCAGTGTGTAATCCAGGGTGGGGGGAGAGTAGGTTCACAGTTGTGAGAACGTGAAAAAGTTTATTCTTGTATTATTAATCATTTTCCCCCATATAAACAATTGTCAACCTACTTTTGCCCCATCCTTTTTTTTTAATCCTCATCTGAGGACATTTTTCCATTTTTTGTACAGACAGAGTGGGAGGGAGAGAGAGGAAGAGAGAGAGAGGGAAACATCGATGTGAAAGGGACACATCGAGTGGCTGCCACCCACACGACCAACCAGGGCCGGGGACAAACTGCAACCGAGGTACGCGCCCTTAGCGGGAACCGAACCCGGGCCTCTCCGGACCGCAGGCCGACGCTCTAACCGCTGAGCCAAACCGGCCAGGGCTGTCCCATCTTGTATTGTGTTTTCATTGTATTAAACTTTTTTCAGGAACATTTTTATGAGCTGTGATAATCCCTTGGAAGGGTGAATAAATCTCTTTCTGTATCCTTAAACGTTGCCCAAAAGGGCATCTGCCAATAATGACCACAAGCATCAGTGACTGGCTGAGACGGTGGGGAGGGGGCCTTGCAGTGGCCCCGAGCCCGCTGATCCCCCGGCCTGATGCTATCTGCCTTTGCTGGGCTTAGACCACCCCTCTGCCTCCTTCCTCTGTCCCTTCCCCTCCTCCTGTGGGCTCGGGGTGGGGGAGCCCAGCCAGGGGAGAAACACGCGCAGCTTATTGGAAAATGTTATCTGTCACCCCCATGTGGGGCCAGCCCCGGAATCCAAACCTTATTTCCTCCTGAAATTCACAACATTCCGGGTTGCCATACAATCTTGATCATACTTCTCTAAGAAATGTGACCCGCGTCGTTTAAAATCTCAGCGTCCCCTAGACTAGCGGGATTTGTTTTGTCTTCCACCGGCAACCACACTTTCTTTGGCAGTAAAACTATGCTCGAAACAGCATGGGTATGGAATGACTTAACCGCCCTGTACATAGAAAGACAATGGGATCCTTAGGGGGGAGCTGAAATGTGAGTCTTCATACAGGACGGCTCCCACGACCACTTTTGTCGCTGTGACCGTCTGGTTACAAACGTTACAAATAACTGTGGGATCGGGAGCCTCCCCTTTCCTTAGATGAGCCCGGAAAGAAACCGCAGGGTGCAGGCCCTTCTCTGGGGCAGCTGGAAAACGGACTGTGCCCACGCGAGCGCTCTTCACGAGAATCAGAACTGGGAAAACAGGACCGGTCACCCGCACGCCAGCCTGCCAACATACAGGACGAAATAGAAATGAACGGACCATACCTGAGCTCTTCCTCCCGGGCCGAGCCCTCTCCCGACTCAGGCAGCGACGGGAGGCCTCCCCGAGGGGGGAGCCGGTGGATAGCGCGTGAGGTTTCCCGGCTGCGGGTCGGACGCTGCCCCGCGGAGCCCCGGACGCGCCCGCACGCGCGGGACCGCACTCTCCTCGGAACTGCGGCCGCACAAGGAAGGCGCAGCGGTTTCTGGACGCCTCGCTCCTCCCCGCACAGTGCGCTTCAGCGCTCCTTCGCCTGTCCTTTATAGCCGGCTAATTATAGCCCTTCGTCCCAAGTGTCAGGAGTTAGTCATCCGGCAGCGTCTGGTCGCGCACCTCGGCCACAGGTGAGGCGGGACGGTGTGGTGAGATGCGCCCACGGAGAAACCCTCGGCCAGGGCGCCTCTGGCCGGCACCGGCACCGAAAAGGTGCCTCTGCCCACTTCTCCTTCACCCTCCTCCCCCTGCGCCGTCCTCCCCCCCACCGACGCCCACGGCGCGCACCCCGCGCGCACGCCCAGCCCCGCGGGCCTCTGCCAGGTGACCGAAGGGCAAGGCGCGCAGGGTCCGCGCGCAGCCGGGTCGCGGGGCCGCCCGCGCGCAGGGAGGAAGGCGGGGCTGGCGGGGGCTGGCGGGGGGTGGCGCTGGCCCGCGCCCGGGGACTCCGCGGGGCTGCGGGCACGGAGGGAGAGTGGGTGCCCCAGGCTCTGTATTTCCAGGCGCAGTGGGCGTGCTCGGCTCTGCCGGTTTCCATCCCGGCTCCGAGCGCCCGTTTCTCTGGGCCCAGACTGGTGCGCAGGAGCCCGCGGTGGGGTTTGTGTCCACGTTCTTCGTCCGCCTGCTCACAGGGCCACTGTGGGGTTAACGGTTTGCTTTAATCACCCCCAGGGCTGCCCTGGGCTCTGGCTCCCTGAAGTTTTGTTTTGTTTTTTAATTGAATTTATTGGAGTGACATTGGTTAATAAATTATATAGGCTTCAGGTGTGCAATTTCATAAGACAGCATCTGTATATTTTATTGTGTTCACTGCTCAAAGTCAAGTCTCCCTCCGTCCCCATTTATCTAGCCCCCCTCTACCTTCTTCTCCCTCCGCACCCCCCCTTCCCTGGCAATCACCTTGCTGCTGTCGGGTTTGTCTGGTGTTTGCTTAATCCCTTCGCCTTTTTCAGGAGTCCCCAAACCTCCCTCCCCTGTGACAGCTGTCAGTCTGTTCTTGTCTCTATGACTCTGTTTCTACTTGCTTGTTAGTTTATTTTGTTCATTAGGTTCCATATGTAAGTGAAATCATATGCTATTTGTCTTCCTCTGACTGGCTTGTTTCACCAGCATAATGCTCTCCAGGTCCCTCCATGCTGTGGCAAAAGGTAAGATTTCCTTCTTTTTTAATGGCTGAGTAGTATTCCATTATGTAAATGTACCACAGATTTTTTTGTTTTTTGTTTTTTATCCGCTCATTTACTGAAGGACACTTGGGCTGCTTCCAAGTCTCAACGATTGTAAATAACACTGCAATGATCACAGGGGTGCATATATTTTTTCAAATCAGTGTTTTGAGTTTTTTCGGATATATTCCCAGAAGTGGAATGGCTGGGTCATAAGGCAGTTCCATTTTTAATTTTTTAAGAAACTCCATGTTGCTTTCCACAGTGGCTGCCCCAGTCTGCATTCCCCCCAGCAGTGCATGGGGGTCCCCTTTCTCCACACCCTCGCCAGCACTTGTGTTTACTGATTTACTGATGACAGTCATTCTGACAGGTGTTAATGTTATAATTTGCATTTCTCTGATGATTGGGGATGTTGATCACCTTTTCGTATGTCTGTTGGCCACCTGTATGGCCTCTTTGGAAAAGTGTCTATTCAGGTCCATTGTGTATTGTTTAGTTGGGTGGTTGTTGGTCGTTGTTGGTTTTGTTTGATGCTTGTTTTGGTGTTGAGTTTCATAAGTGCTTTGTAACACTCCTGAAGTTCTTTCTCAAGGTTGAGAATTAGCCATGAAAACCTGTGATACCTGCTGTTTGGGTTTTTCTGTTTGGCCCAGCTGGAGAAACCTCTCCCATGAAAGGGGTTATTGGAGAACCGGATATAAACACTAATGTTTCTGTTTGGCCTGCATGTCCCCCCTTACCTCCACCCCCAGGATCCTTGAAGCAGCCTCTGGAATCACCCCTAGCAACTCAGTGCTCCTGCGGTGGTAGGCAGGGCTCATAACACTGAGTTAATATGATGAGGCGACCCTCTGCTCCCTGTAGTTACACCGCGTTTAAGCTTTGGATGAGAATTTGGAGCAAGCATTTCAGGGCAGTGGCTCTCAAGGTGAGGCCTCGGGCCAGCAGTGCCAGCCCCGCCTGGACATTGTTAAAGATATAGGTTCTCTGGCTCCACCCCGGACCCACCGAATCGGGGGTGGGTTTAGGGTCTCTGTGTTAACAAGCCTCTCCGACCCCCATGCGGCTACATTTTGAAAATTGCTGGTGTAGGGAAGTAACTTCCTACCATGGAAACAGCTCCTATTCATTGAGGCTTGACTCTGTGACAATAGTATTATAGGCATTTTACAATTACCAGCTCATTGAAACGTTATCACGCCACCAGAAAACCCACGAGGAGAGTGTTCATGTCATTTCCTTTTACAGGTGAGCACATAGAGGTAAGTGACTCACCCAGGCCACTGAAGCTTGCAGGGAGGGGAATCCAAACTCCTACGCACACACGGGGCACCACAAGTGAGCATTTAACTACAGGGCTTCAGGAGATTTCTAATTAGTAAGTAATTGGACACTGAACCGAGGTATAATTACAGAGTCAGAAACCCAGAGTGACAAGTAACTCTAGAAGCGAGTGTGCAAAGAACACGCTCTTTAGCTCTGTGGAGATGACATGGTTTAAGTCAGATTCCCATGGGCGATTCAAACTTCGGGCGCTTGCTGTGGAAATAGGGCATATTTGTGGGTCCTTGGGATCCAGTTCTTCTTCCAAAGCTCTTTGGCAGCCAACCTCACGGCTTTGTATTTCTTTAGCCAATTTCTAACCGAGGTCTGGACCTCAGACTCCTGCTAGAATGAGCCACGGAAGGGGGACTGTGACATGTTATACCCCTCATTTTCCCGGGATGGTTACCAGGGTCATTTTTCTTTTCTTTTCTGTCTTTCTTTCTTTCTTTCTT